ATACCGCCCGATCTCACTTTTGAACACCTTAGGCAAGCTGCTGGAAGCCGTGGTGGCCCGACGCCTCTCGTACTATGCGGAAAAGTACAAACTGCTTCCCGACACTCAATTTGGGGGCCGTCTAGGCCGAATAACAGAGCAAGCTCTTCTGGTGCTAGCGAATGCGATTGATCAAGCATGGCTGAGAGGCCGAGTTGTCACACTAATTGCATTCGACCTGAGAGGAGCATTCAATGGTGTCAAAGCTACAACTCTGGATGCCCGCCTCCTGGAGAAGGGGATACCCACACCAGCTAGGAAATGGATCCAAAGCTTCATGCAGGACCGGACGGCAAGCGTCCATTTCGACGGGTTCTCAACCAAGGTCAGCCCGCTGGAAAACGCCGGACTAGCGCAAGGCTCGCCACTCTCGCCTACTCTGTTCGCGCTCCTCAATTCAGGCTTGGTGAACCAGGAGGTGGACACCCAGGCGGGCCGCCTCAGCATTTGTCGATGACTATTTCCGATGGAGAGTAGGGAAATCAGCAGAAGAAAACCTCCGGAGGATTCAACAAGAAGACATCCCTCGAATCACGGAATGGGCACAGTTGACAGGATCAAGCTTCGCGGCGGAGAAGACGGAACTGATTCACCTCACCCGACGCAAGAAAGAACGAGGGAAAGGAAGCATCACCATGGACGGCAAGGTCATTCGCGCCGGCCGCACAGCCAAACTCCTCGGGGTGGTATTTGACGATGAACTACGGTGGAAAGACCATGTGCAACGAGCGGTAAAGGCAGCAACCACCACGGCCCTTGGAATGGGCGGACCGAAGCACCTGCGGCCTGCCCAAATGAAACAAATATACCAGGCTTGCGTCGTACCCAAGCTGGATTATGCGTCAACCGTGTGGCACAACCCCAACAGGGACAAAGGACATCTCCGAGTCCTCGACACCGTCCAAAGAGCAGCCCTCCTCCGGATCATCTCGGCATTCAAGTCCGTTGCAACCCAGGTACTGGAGGTAGAATGCCATGTGCTCCCCACACGCTTGAGACTCAAACAGCGAGGACAAGAGGTGGTGATGCGATTATGCGCTCTCCCTCAAACACACCCACTTGCCAGAGTGGTGGACCGAGTGAAACAACGGGTGAACCGACAGGGAACTCAGCCCAGACTGCCTCTCGCTGAAACCACCAAAACATTGGACATCGGAGAGCTTGAGTCGTTGGAGACCATAGATCCAACCCCCCTCCCACCCTGGAACCAGTCAGACCCAATCGAGATCACAATCGACCCAGATAGGTCACAGGCCCTTGACGAAGTGGTTGAATTAATCGAACACTCAGAGGCTGTCATCTACACGGATGCCTCAGAAAAGAACTCGAGACTCGGCGCAGGGGTAGTAATGGCGAGCCGGAAAGAGGGACCACAGCGGACATGGCAGATCGGAATCGGACCAGCCAGTGGTTGGACAGTGCACGCCGCTGAGTTGATTGCTATCTATCACGCAGTCGATGTAATCTACCAGGAAAGAGTCAACAGGCGAAGAGACAAGATGTATACAATAGTCAGCGACAGTTAGTCAGCGATCAAAGCAATCGCCAACCCATCCAATAAACCAGGTCAAGCAATAGTACATCGCATCCTGGACCGAGCTCAGGCATTTCGGGATCGACGGATAAAGATCCGGTTACACTGGATCCCAGGCCATGCAGGCATCGAAGGGAACGAATTAGCCGACCGGCTCGCAAGGCAAGCAGTGACATCTGAAAAGCAACACAGCTTTGGTCGTCTGGTATCAACATACAAACGAACAGCACGCAAAAAGATTCAAGAAGAATGGCAACAAGAGTGGAGGGCCAGTCCAAAAGGCAAACATTTGAAAAGAATCGACGATAGCCTCCCAGCCAGGCGGGCCTTTCGCCTTTACCGCCAGCTCACACGACACCGAACCTACCTAATGATGCAACTACGGGGTGGGCATTCCTGGCTGGCACAACATAGCCGACGGTTCAAGTTCACCGACGACGACCGCTGTGTGTGCGGAGCGATTGAGACCGTAGTCCACGTGCTGGTGGACTGCCCGAGGCTCTGGGAAGTGAGACAAGAACTACGGACTCAGGTAGGGGATGCACTTGGGTGCATCGCAACTATGCTCGGAGGAACTCCTCGGAACGGGCAAGGTAAAGTAGGCAACGGCAGAATCAACTGGAAAATTATCAATGCAGTACTCGAATTCGCGGAAGCATCCGGAAGGTTCAAATCACGAGCGCCGCCAGCGAGGCCAAGGGATCACGACAGGCCCCAACGAGGCTGAAAGATCGCGCATGTAATATAGTTTCATACTGAATAAGGGTCAAAGAAGATAGTTTAGAACAGTAGCAGCCCAGCATACTATATCACTCCTCGCGGAGAGAGAGACCAGGGCAAATTGAGTCAAGTCAAGTCAAGTCAAGACTGTATGGCAAAACTAGTGTGATTCACAACAAAGCCACTGTAACTTTCTTTTTCGAGGGTGTTTTTGTCAAAAGTGCGCGTGTTCAAATGCTCCCGCGGCCCATTCCAAATGGTGCGACAATCAATTCAGATTCTCCCTCCCCCCACAATTTTGTACCTTTCCACTCCTCAAAACACTTCAAAATTTAGACGCATCGCATCCTCTCCTCGCTGCCTGTCCGAATCCGAGTAGTTTACAGCAAGAGCACCGGTGGTGGTCAAATTGAAAACTCAATGGGGGTTTGCCTTGGTCTGCACCTCACCCACGCGTTTTGTTGTCATCCACACACGTGCCCCCACGTGCCCCCACGTGCCATGCAACCGCCAACACACCACTGCGCGTAAGGGTCCAAAATATTTGAGCTCGGACTCCTCAGGCATTAGCTCTATACTCTGTGGTTTTGACCTTATACTTTTGATCTCTTTCGGCGCAGCTGATTCTCGATTCCTTTGGGTATCCTCATCTGTGGCACACTACCTATCATGGCTGAAGGCTGTATTGAGCGGCTATCCAGCCAAGTCCTAACGAAATATACCCCGGTCGTTCTGGCGAACCTTCCCAGAGAACCGCGCTTCAGGCGTACATACCCCTCTATTAGCTAACCTCCTACCCTGATTCAAAGCCTTACGATGAACCCGATCCGAAATTACGACTCGAAACTGGCGTACATCTGGGATGCGGGAATAGTCGCTCGCAGCGTATAAGATGGGGGAGACACAACCGTACAAGTGCGAGATGAAGAGGTCACGCACGCACCCTTGGCTCTCCTTCTGACATTTGACTCGATGTGGGGTGAAGTGATCGCCGACTTCAATAACCAGCGTGGCGTCTTGTGCTGTAGTCCTCTCCTTCCCCTCTCGCCAGACCGCGGGATCTAGCTGAAAACCGACGGATCAGCGCGATTGTCGATGTCGGTATCTCTAGATGTGGGGGTGGCCAAAATTTTGCGAAGAAGAGAAGAACAAGAAAAGAGGGGCGGGGAGGGCCGTCAAGATGTATGGTTCAATCCTGCTATCGACGATGAAGCGCAGTCGGTCTGGAGAAAGCGACAGGTTGGGCCCTATTTATACCAATATGCATTTTCACAATGCGTTCTAATCAACGTCGCTGTCCCATGATGGCCGTTCAAGAAACAAGTCCCGACGTACCCTACGGCGTGCCTTTCGCGGTGCAAGCAGAATACACAAGCGGATTAATCACAAAGAGGCGGTCGTAGTTGGTGGAGTGTTCAAGACCAGTCACTGGCTCCGACTCCTCGGAGGGAACCACCAACCAACCGTACAGACTCCATGCGCAGAACAGCAGCAATACCCCCTCTCGACGAGGCTCCCTTGCGGTTCCCAATCCGCCAGTTTGCAGCATGCCGTAATTCAAGGTATGATTGAGGCCGGAACGCTCAAAATTGTGAAGTGCCAAAAGCGGCCGGTTTGCAGAAGCCACCATTCGGGGCCCGCGGTGGACGTCCTCGATCGAAGCGCTGCTAAGCCTCTTTCGCGCAAAACTTTACCCACAATCGGGCGAGATGGGCATCTTTCTGTGGGACGAGTTTGATGAACTTACCTGTCGACGTCGACCATCAGCAGGGCTTTGAAAAAGATCGGGCGATCCAAGAAGGTCGTTCGCCGAATGGCGGAGGAACGAAATGCAGACCTCCGCGATATGTACCTCCACGATCTACCCGCCTATGACCACAATTAGGGCCTTTATACGGACGGGACCGCGTACTGACTTTCAGTAGGACCTACGGTGGGAGGTGGCGGACGGGGGACAGTACTGGAATCATAAGCGTCACCGGGGGGCCCGGGCGCTCAGCGTTGACTAGCTTGCGGCGTCTCCCTCAGCGCCGGGTGCTCAATGACAAGACTTCGAAGACGGTTCTGTGTGACGAGGTGGATTCGATTCAGTGGGCCCTCAGTCCATGTTCATCTTTCTCACTTATTCCTTTCAGAGGAAGATCCCCCTCCTCTTCACCACGCTCTGGGTGATCATTCACTCTTCCTTCCCCGCGAAGCCCCTACCACTCCACCCTCAGAGCTCTCATTTTCACGGCGTCCCTCCCGGTCACTCCTGAGGTCTCGGTGAGGTATAAGAGACCCTCGCCTGAATCGCCATCAATCCCCGCCTCGATCAACTTTGACCGTGAATAGAAAAAAACAGAAGCGAAGGTGATTGGTGAACTCCTCACTAAGCCGGGCAGCGACACTAAGAACTAAGGTGGAAGACTGACCGAGTTGAGATGGTCTGCATGTCCCTGTCCCCTCGCCGTATTTTACTTCTCCGGATCAACTTCGGCTCTACTACTGACAACTGGGAGAAGCGTGGACACTGACGGAATACAGAATATCCTCGCCCCTCGCTGACGCCGGGTGGGACCGTCCTCGTTCTACACTTAGGGTGGATTCCCACGATCGGAAGATGTCATCAGGTGCAGGAGGATCACCGGGGCAGCCATCCTCGCGTGACGATCCATCTCCTCTCTGCCGGTGCCGCCCATCGACTGGTTCACCACCCGTCGACGCGATGTCCTCAGCGGGACAAGGGACTTCAGTTTCCGCCGGCGACGGCCTGGGACATACTCCTCGCTCGGGAGGATCTGGCGGCCCCGACCCACGTGAGTACATCGAACTCCCCCATTCGAAGGATAGTTTATTCGACGATAGTCTAGGTGACCCGATCCCCGACGCGTCACACCCATCCATCGAGTGTAGTGCTCCCTTTGTCTACCCAAAACGCGACGAACTCGAGATCATGGGGTAAGTGGCTCTAAGCCTACGTGAACGTATGGGCTGGTCGTTGCTCGGTAGTATGCCTGGGAAAGTTTCATACGACGTCACATTGAAGGGTCATATTCTGAAGGTTGAGATCCCGCGAAGTCTGGAGTGAAGGATCGGCTTGGTCCGTAGAGACTCAGGGGTTAGGACGGTCGGTTAGAGAATCAATATTCTGGCTAAGTGCCAGGTGTTGGAGCTCACGCCGGCGATGGTCTCTCGCCTTCGCGACCTTCCTGATGAGTTGGGCGCTCCGCCTGCGGAGGACTCGTTTCCCCGCTATCTATGGGCCTCGACGACCAGAGAGTTAAGAGAAGTGAAGGTCGAGTCAGAATGATCTGCATGCATACGGACAAAGGTCCGGCAATAGGGGATAGCCTACCGGCGGTCGGAAACGGACAGGTACTGGTTTGTGGGAGTCCTTCACTTTGGGCTCACTTGACTTTAGGTTTATCCTTCAAGACCAAGGCTACCTTGAACAAGCCTCCGTTCATTCGCCTAACGAGCAGTCGTTCACTTAGCGACTCGGTAAATCTGACGATGATGGCATTCTATCATTCTCATTTCGTCCACCCATCAACGCAGTAAGTCTCGACACGACCTTCTCTCCTCTTTCTCTATCACTTTCCGCTACGCAAGAATCCGGTGTCGGGCGAGTCTGAGCCTCGAATGCGGCGAATGCTTCACCGCGTAATCATCTTAGCAGCATCTGGAAGACCGCACACCCGAGATCATCAAGATAGTCATGGGATACCTCATGGGAGCAGCTCTCAGAACCCACCGACTGCTGGACAGGAAGGCTCACAACAAAGTAACCCCGCCTTTGTGCCGAACCATGGTCTTGACACTGGATGGTCAGAGTATTATACCGGCTCTCATGATCCTCGAATCGAAGTTTCTCAGACACTATGTGCGTGGTATTGACTGGAAAGCAGTCAACACGGAGGATTATAGGCGCCTTCCCCCCCCCC